AACATGGAAAAGCCTGATGCCAGTCAAGAAGTTGGTAGAGGATGGTTTGAAGTGATCACGTCTCTTCAGGTGATAGAAATGAAGACCTAGTCGGGACATGGTTGCATCTGTAAAATTACATGGGCTGAAAGAAACGTCTAACCCCCTGGAAGGAGGAAGGCTTCTTGGTACTTTGAAAACAAAGGAGAGCTCTGTTTCAAGATGTAGATGGCTTTCATTATTCCAAGAGATTATATAGACAGAAGTTACTAAAGGATTTGAAAAGCAGTTGGTTGCATTTGTGGTTGACAAATCCATTTATTCACTAAGGCAAATTAGTGATGTTTAAGGATGTCCCTGTCTTTTGAGGTCAATATTTGGAATGACCACCGAACGTCACATAACTTGTTCTTATCCTGTCCAGCTTACTACAATTACAATTACCTGGAGGAGGCATTCCTGATTATAACTAGTAAAGACAAGACACTATGGGTTGTAGTTTGCAACAGTCTCGGCCTCAGGCTCTCTGAATTCCCTCTTAGGCCTGCTGGCTTTACATCTGCCTTCCCAGCCACACCCACCTACTAGTGACAGCTGGCTGCCAGCAGCCTCATCTCTAGAGAACAAGACAATGGGCCTGTTGTGCACTTGTTGATACACAGAGTGGATTGTGTTAGCAGGTGCAGGGGCAAGTCTGTGGAGATTACAGGGACCTTTATCCTTGGTGGTGTAGCGTAATCGAAATCTAAGTTGTCCTTTGTCTGGTCCTACAAGCAGGTGTTGGAACTGGATTGAGTTAAGCTCAGGCCGATCTGTGTGTGGGGGCAGCATTACTTTTGCTTTTATTTGGTGACTCTGCTCTCTCTCTAGCCTTTCCCTTGAATCAGAAAATTTTAAACTCCCTTTGGTGACCAATCAGGTAGTTCTGATTTTTCTAAGAATTGTTTTGATTGGAGTTAGTTGATGCAGGGCACTTTGAAATCTGGAATCCTTTGTTTGCAAAAGTGAGTTTAGGGATAGGCAGTGACTAGAAAGATGACTGTTTTTGGTTAGTGCAGTGATTTCACTCAGCTTGTTCATAAAGTGGAGCCTCATGTTTCCCCTGTACCCTTTGGATGCTTGATAAATGGACTTGACTTTCATTTCTGAATTCATTGCTTGATTATCTGTTCCAGCGAAGGGGAGCAATGGAAAAGAGAATAAGCCCAAAGCCAGTGATATGCCAGAACCATAATTATCTTGAACTCAGCTAGCCAGATTCATCCATTTCTAGATGCTTTTCCTCCTACCCTTGGCTTTTAGGAGAAGGACGCAACTCATAAAAAAGTAAACTTAAAAGTGACGAAGTAAGTTAAGACCAAGAATTTTGTTTAAAAACAAGCAAGCAAGCAGAACAACTGCTACAGTCATGTTCCAGCTTCAATACATACGACCACCTTCATAGTAAATTGCTTAGTCTGATATTACAATTGGTTTGCAGCCCCTCATGCAGTTGTGTGTGTGTGGCAGGAAGACAGGGGGAGGCTCTCATGGGGGTTGTTAGCCGTTGGCTCTGAATGGCCAGCAGCTTGTTTAATCCCTGTGCTGATGAGGTAGCCCTTTTCCTTAGCTCACTTTCTCAGCTCTCCTTCTGGTCCTTGCTCATCCTCTTTAGAGCCTGCCTCCAAGAGAACATCTCTGTTTTGAAGGTGAAAACGTGCCTCAGGAGGAGAATAACAATAGGCCACTGATAGCCCTCATCACATATTCCCATTTACTTGGTTTGAAATTCCGTCCAAATCAACAAGTATTTATTGATAACTTCTTTGTTTTCATACTTATATTAGACTCTGGTAGCATAGTGATTATGAGTTGGGCTGCTAACCTCAAGGTCAGCAGTTCGAAACTGCCAGCCATTCCACAGGAGAAAGATGAGGCGTTCTGCTCACATAAAGATTTACAGCCTCAGAAACCCTATACAGAGTCGCTATAAGTTGGAACTGACTCCACAGCACACCACCACCAGCATTAGACCCTGGGAGATAGAGAATTATAATAATGTTAATATCTACATTTACTTGGTGTTTAGTTTGTGTCAAGGACAACTGGTGGGGTGCTGTAGGATCAGCGCTGGACTTTGAACCACAAGGTCGGCAGTTCAAACCCACCGGCTGCTCCTCAGAAACCCTAGACAGGGTCACTATGAGTAGAACTGATTCGTTGGCACTTAAAAAGTGTCTGTCAAGTTCAGTTCTAATTTTTTTATTTGTATGAACACACTTAATCCATGTAACAACCCATGGAGTACATAGGTCAACTCATAGTGACCCTGTGTCCAACAGAATGAAACACTGCCTGGTTCTTTGCCATCCTCACAATCTTTCCTATGTTTGAGTCCATTTTTGCAGCCACTGTATTTTACAGATAAGGAGACTGAAGTTAGCTAACTCACCCAAGGTCACACACTAGGAGCTGGTAAAGCCAGAATTGGAACCCAAACATTCATGCTCCAATAAGATTCCTTTTCTTATGAAACATATAGCCTAGTTGTGTTGTTGTTGTTAAGTGCTGTCAAGTTAGTTCTGACTCACAGTGGCACTGTATAGGGTTTCCAAGGAGTAGCTGTGAGTTTGAACTACCAATCTCGTGGTTCACAGTCCAGCGCTGATCGTACAGCACCACAGTCTAGCTGGGGGAGATGAATTCACATGGAGAAACAGCTAGGAAACAGTACAAGGTTCCGGTAGTGAGAGCTACAGTGGGTAGAAAGGGAGACGTGAGTATAGTGTACCATAGACCTTTTGGAGAAGGCCAGACCTCTCTTAAGTTTTAGATTCTTTATCTATCAAATGGGTACAATAGACGCTATCTTATAGACTCACTTTGAGAAATGCTTGAGATAATGCACTAACGACCTTAGTGCATTATCTGGCACATGACGAGAGCTCAGTAAATTGTGCTTGCCATGACAACAATAAAGTTTATACCTACATGACCTGAAAGATGAATAGACGTGGGGCCTATGGAGGCTAAGAGGAGTGGCCTTCCAGGTAAATTATGAGCAAAGAGTGGGAGTTAACCTGACGTTGGGAAGGAACAGTGAGGAGATACAATTCTCTTTTTTCCTTGTTTATGGTCAGTAGTCACTTACTGTTGCTGTTGTTTGTTGCTGCTGCACAATAGAATGAAACACAGCCTGAGTGGTCCAGCAACACCTTCATGATCAGCTGCAGATCAGACTGTTGTCATCCATATGGTTTTCCTTGGCTGATTTTGGGAAGTAGATCACCAGGCCTTTCTTCTTAGGCTGTCTTAGTCAGAAACCTTCACTGAAACCTGCTTAGCATCAGTGCAATATGTAAGCTACCACTGACAGACTGCATATGAGGTATCAGGGCTAGGAATCGAATCCAGGTCTCTGGCACAGAAGGCAAGAATTCTTCCACTGATCCATCAATGTTTCATAGTCACCTACTAACCAATCAACCAACCAAACAAAAAAGCCCTCTGCCGTCAAGTTGAGTCCAACTCATAACGACCCTATAGGATGGGTAGGGCTGATCCTTGGGGTTTTCAAAGCCACAGTATATACTTACGGAAGACCTCTACATCTATCCCCTATGGAGTGGCTGGTAGTTTGAAATGCCAACCTTTTGGCTAGCAGCTGAGCACTTTAACCACTGCACTATCAGGGCTCCTAGTCACCTATTAGCTAAACTAGTTGAGGGGAGAACAGGAATCAAATAAAATGAAATCCTTGACACCTTCAATCTGTTCTGCATTTATCATGATGTAACTTATTGGTCTAGTTGTGAGGGTTTTTTTTTTATGTTGATATGTAATTCGTACTGAAGACTGTAGTCTTCGATTTTCATCAATAAATGCTTCAAGTCCTCATTGCCTTCAGTCATCCTCCAATCCTGGTGCTATGTTCTTCTTCAGATAGTCCATTTTATTGTAAAAATACAACTCCAATGCATGCCTTTTCTGATTTTAAACCTTGGAGTTCTGGTGTGGTGCTGTAGGAAAAGTAGTGGACTGCAAAGTCAGTTTGAACTGCAAGGTTGATAGTTCAAATTCACCAGTTGCTTCTCAGAAGCCCTATACAGGGTCGCTATGAGTCAGAACTGACTCATTGGCACTTAACAACAACAACAGTATCCCTTTGTTCTGTTTAAACGACTGCCTCCTGGTCTGTGTATAGGTTCTTCATGAGCACAATTAAGCATTCTGGAATACCCGCTCTTTGCAATGTTATCCATAGCTTGTTATGATCCACACAGTTGAATGCCTCTGCATAGTCAACAAAGCACAAGTAAACATATTTTTGGTATTCTCTGCTTTTAGCCAAGATCTATCTGATGTCAGCAATGGCATCTCTTTTACCACATCCTGTTCTGAATCCTGCTAGAATTTATAGCACCTCCCTGTCCTGTTGAAGCAGCTTTTGAAGTCAGTCAGTAAATTTTTACTCACATTTAATATTAATGATATTGTTTGTTAATGTCTTCATTCTTTTGGATCCAAATGGTGGGTTGTTATTGTTAAGTGTTGTTGTGTTGGTCCCAACTTCTGAGGAGCAGCTGGTGGGTTTAACTCCCGACCTTGTGGTTCACAGTCCAGTGCTGATCCTACAGCGCCACACCAGGATACACCAGAATGGAAGGGTTGTTGTTGTTAAGTGCCGTCGAGTCAGTTCTGACTCACAGCGACCCTATATAGGGTTTCTGAGGAGCAGCTGGTGAACTTGAACCACCGATCTTACAGTTCAAACCGGCCTTGCAGTCCAGCACATTAACCCGCAGCACCACAAGTATGGTGGTGGTGGCAGTGTGCCATGGAGTCGGTTCTGACTCATAGCGACCCTGTACAGGGTTTCCGAGGCTGTAAATCTTTACAGGAGCAGAACGCCTCATCTTTCTCTCGTGGAACAGTTGGTAGTTTCAAACTGCTGACCTTGCAGTTCGCAGCCCGATTCGTAACCACTATGGTCTAAGAATGGAGGGAGGTTTAATTAAATGTTAACTGCCGGCTTTCTTCAGGTGCCGCTACCTGGCTGTTCAGCTGTCTCCTGCCATCCCCGTGTTTGCTGCCATGCTCTTCCTTTTCTCCATGGCTACGTTGCTGAGGACCAGCTTTAGTGACCCTGGAGTGATTCCTCGGGCCCTACCAGATGAAGCCGCTTTCATAGAAATGGAGATAGGTGAGTTTTCCGATCAGCTGGCAAGTCTGTGCGTAGGGAGTGACCTTAATCAGTAAGTACATGAAGGGACACGGAACAGTAGTTACAGATTAATAATCACTCTGAGCTCCTGAACCTGAAGTCATAACCATGCTGTGGATTGGGTAAGGTAGGTGGGACAAGATTCTAGTCATACCCTTCAGTCTTCTCTGCAGTGGTTGCATTTCAGGAGAGATTTGTTATCACTGTTCCCAAGAGGATAATTAAAAAAAAAATTTTTTTTTGGGGGGGGGAGGTCACCAACTCATTTGAGATTCTGACAAAAATTGTAAACTGTCTCCCCATAAAAATATTCTTTCCTGAATGCATGGACACACAATTTGGGGTGTAATTTCAGAGATTCATAGGTTTGCTGAAGCCCTTTCATGGACCACCGCAACCAAGAATTCCTGCTTTAGAGGCGCGTACGAGGTGAGAGGAGAGTAGCTATTGTGCCAGAAACCACAAAAAAGGGATCAATTACAGGGTCAGTACAGGGCAGTTTGCAGTTCAGGGTAGGAATCTTTGGGGCCATAGATAAGGTGTTACACTACCCAAGAGACAGGGTGTCTTTAAGAGGTGAAGCAGAACATCCTAGGGCTAAAGAAGTGGGTATCTTGGGAGCTGATACTGGGAAAGAAGGCTAGAATGCCAGTAATAAGAGGGACTGAGAATTCACCAGATCCAAAAGCAGCATCTCAAGTTGGGTACCTGGTAGCTTCACTCAGCATCCAAATCAGCTGGAATAGAAGAAGGGACCCTGGACTTGCAAGACTGTTACTCCAAGGAGTCAGCCAATCTCTGACGACCTTGTAGTTGTCTGAGCATACTTTGAGCATACTTTGAAGACATCTGTGCTTCAGTATTTCTTTTGTTGATTTTTGCTGTGTTTTCCCCCTAGCTTCTTACTAGATTTCTTTTTGCAAACTTCTAACCAAGGGTTCAACTTCTGTTGCATAGGTGACACACAGGGCATTTTTAAAAGGGCATTAAGTCAGCTTGAGGACTAAGGTGCGCCTGACCCAAGCCATGGTATTTTCAATAACTTCATATGCATGCGAAAGCTGGATATGTGAATAAGGAAGACCGTAGAACAATTAATGCTTTTGAGTTATGGTGTTGGAGGAGAATATTGAAAGTGCCATGGGCTGCCAAAAGAACCAACAGATCTGTGTTGGAAGAAGTGCGAGTGCTCCTTGGAGGCCAGGGTAGCCAAACTCTGTCTCTCATACTTCAGACATGTGGTAGGATAGAGGGTCAGAGAAAAAGAGGAAGACCCCAGTGAGGTGGATTAGCAAAGTGGCAGTGTCAGTGGGCTCAAGTGTGGCAACAGTAGTGAGATTAGCCCGGGACCAGGCACTGTTTCATTCTGTTGTGCATAGGGTCACTATGAGTTGGTACCGACTCGATGGCACCTAACAACAAAACAACAAGCCTGTTGACATTATAATGGTGAATACATGGCATTAGACATTTGTCACAAACCCCATGGGGCTGTACAACACAAAGCGGGAACCCTAATGTAAACTGTGAAGCATATGGAGACGTTCAAAATAATATCTCGGTATTGATGGGTTCATCAGTTGGAACAAATGTACCACAGGAATGTAGTATGTTAAAAGGAGAGACAGTGAGCAGGTAGGAGGGGATATATTGGAGCTCTGTGGACTTTCTGTAAACCTAGGACTGGTGGGGATAATGGGAAGAAAACAGAGGCTAGATGTGTTGGCACAGCTGGAGTTCTAGCGAGACGTGAAAGCGAGGGAGAGTTGGGATTGCCACTGTTTCTCCAGCTGGGTTATTCTTAAATAGTTCCCCTTCCACTTACATATAGAGAAGCCAAGGGTCAAGCTCCTGCCTTCAGATTCTTGCTTCTCACAATAGCTTGTTGACAGGGTTAGCTCTTAACTGAACCAGAGGCCCAGATTCTCGTGGTCCTATTGCGACAGATGCATTGCTATGTTTCTTGAGTTCATACCTGTGTTCATGTTAGCAAGTGTTTGTCAACTTGTCTTGCTCCTGTGCTGGATCTTCTCTGGATGGGAGCTGGGAGGTGAGGAAAGATGAAAACGCTGGATTCCCCTGCTTCATAGCTCCTTAGAGGGAGGGTAAAACAGGAACTGGCTTTCCTGGCTGCCCTTCTGCAAAGCATATGAAAAGGAATCTTTAGGTGGCATTCTTGTACTTCCATCGTCCTCTCATGACACCCTTTTCAGATCAGATGTGTGACACACTGTTATTGTTTGATTTCACAGCATCCACCCCACTCCTCAGAAAAAGGAAAAATGTTCCATATGGCAGATATTTTTAAAATCAAAGTAAAATGGGAAATATTCTGTTTTTAGAGTTCTACTGTACAGTGAGGGTGCATTGAGACAGGCACTCTCATCTGCTGTGGATGGGTGGGCCTGCACGTTGCTACAGTCTGTGTGGGAAGGGGTTGGACAGTGAGCAATTTGGGCTTTAAGGGTTCCTGTCCCTTGTCCCCCAAATTCTACTTCTCTAAGGATTTAGCTGAAAGAAAATAGAGATTTACACAAATTACTGTAGAAAGGGGCTCTGGTGTAGTGCTGTAGCATAAGCACTGGACTGTTAACCACAAGGTTGACAGTTCAAACCTTCCAGTGGCTCTCAGAAACCCTACATAGGGTCACTATGAGTCTGAACTGACTCGACAACACACAACAACAGCAACTGTGGAAAGATTTTTATTGCATATTTTTTTTTCTTGCTTTTTAATACGGGCACAGCTATTTTAATGCCAGAGCCCTGGTGTGGCATTGTAAGATAAGCAGTGGACTGCTAACCACAGGGTTAGTTGTTCAAACCTACCAGCCACTCCTCTGAAGCCCTATACAGCGTCGTTATGACTCAGAACTGGCTGGACAGCACTTAATAACGTTTTAATGCCAACAACTTCATATGTTACTGTTTAGACTTCAACATGCTTTTCTTTCTTCTTCTCCTTTAAAAATGAATTTTAACTGCTGAGTATATTTTTGGAGAAGGGAGTGGGGGTTGGGACTGAGATGGTGATCAAATAGAATTTCATTTTTATCGATATTTTAGTTGTTTACCTGCAGCATTATTTAATCAGTAAAAAAAACCAGAGGCAATTTAAATGCCAACAATAGAGCATGGTTACAAAATTTGCGGTATACTCCTAGGGTGGAATATTATATCCCCAATAAGGATATTTTAGGGAGGAAAAATAATCATGGGAACATATTCATCGTACAATGTCCAATGAAACTTGCAGGGTACACAGTTTTATTTAGAGTATGACATCAAGTTTTTAAAACTCATGAATGTGTATCCGATGAAGTTTAAACAGAAATATGTATGATGCTCCCTGAGTTAAAAGACTATCAGTGATTTTTGTTTTTCTTTACATTTTCTGCTATTTTTGTCTAAATCTTTTGCAATAAGCATGTATTACTTTAATATTATAAAATTATGTTCATTTTCAAAGATTGTTTTTCTAATTGTAATTTTTGCCAGTCTTTTTTTCTATGGATATATTAGATTTTTGCAAATTAGTAGATTTTTACATATTTGTTTTTAGCTTACATTTCCATTTTGCAACATATTGTGACTATTTTCCTTCATTGTCATTTTACTGATGACATTATTTAAATGGCTACGTAATACTCCAGTCTATGTAAGTATCACGTTAACTGACTTAACTTCACCTTAACTAACATTGAGGTTATTTTCCTATAGCAACATCTTCTATACATCTCTTTGTAATTTTGATAAGTTCTGAGAATGTTCTTTAAAAATTGAAACACTTCATTAACATGTTTATGAAGGACATTATGCTGAGTGAAATAAGTCAATCACAAAAGGCCCAATACTGTATGAGACCAGGGCTGAAGAGTGAATCACACTAGAGAGGTGGTGCAAATTGACTTGGGTGAAGGAGAAAGTAAAAAGAAAAACAATAAGGAGAATATATTAATTATTAACTAAGAATTTTAAATAAATGAAATTTTATTATTGTTGTTAAGCATCAAGTCGGTTCCAACTTATAGCAAACCTGTATAGCGTTTCTGAGGAGTGGCTGGTGGGTTTGAACTGCCAACTCTGTGGTTAGTATTGTATGATATTGTATATAAGAATGGCCTTTTCTACAAACCCTTGCCAACACTGAGTATTTTTATTCTCTCATATATTTGTTAATAAAATAGGTAGAAATGGTATCTTTGTGTTTTAATTTTTATATTTTTTGATTGTTAGTGAAGTCGGATACTTTCATTTCATATGTATTTTGTTGTTGTTGTTGTTGTTAAGTGCCATCCAGTCGAATCCAACTTATAGTGACCCTGTATATAAGGTTTCTGAGGAGCAGCTGGTGAGCTTGAACTGCCAACCTTAAGTTCAAACAGCTTTGCAGTCTGCTGTATTAACGCACAGAGCCATACCAGGGCTCCAGGACTTAGCCATGTTATTCTTGCTTTGTTAATATATTTCCTTATAATCAGAAAAAACAACAATAACAAAAAAATTGAAGGAGCAGTATCTCACATGTGCACAAAAGAATTGCATGACCTTCAGTGGAGTTTTGGAGGGTACACTGATGTGGAAAGTCTCGTCTGGAAATGCTAGTCTGAAGAAGACAGGGGGCCCAGGAAACCTTTGATTACTCCCGTTCATTTTGGAGAGGTGATAAGACATTTGGGCCCAAGTAATGGCCAGCTGTGATGCTAACCATCTTCAATGATTTACAGAAGCTACCAATGGCACCGTACCCCAGGGCCAGCGACCACCACCTCGTATCAAGAATTTCCAGATAAACAACCAGATTGTGAAACTGAAATACTGTTATACATGCAAGATCTTTCGGCCTCCCCGGGCCTCCCATTGCAGCATCTGTGATAATTGTGTGGGTGAGTAAAACCAAGGGGACTTTGTCTGTGGGGGTGGAAGAAGAGAGTAATTCTTGGTTAAACCAGTGAAGATGGCAAGACAGATTAGAATTAACTAGATAAGAAACAAGCTCTGGAAAAACTGTGACTCAATTGTGCTTGTGTAATTCAAATCATAATTTAAATATCCTCTAGTCTAAAATAGGCAGACTCCTGGTGTGGTGCAAGGTCAGCAGTTCAAACCCACCAGCTGCTCCTTGGGAACCCTATGTAAGATCGCTATGAGTCGGAACCGACTCGATAGCACTTAACAACAAGAAATCTAAAATAAGGGAGCTCTGGTGGCATAGTGGTTAAACTGTGGGTTGATAGCCAAGAAGGTCAATGGTTTGAACCCTCCAGCTGCTCCATGGGAGTCTGTGGCAGTCTGCTTCCAAGATTGACAGCCTTGGAAAGCCTATGGGACACTTCTATTCTGTCCCATAAAGATTGCTGTAAATTGGAATGGACTTGATTTTGTTTGGTTTTGGAATCTAGAATAAAAAAATGCTGGTAAATGGTAAACTAAGCTTTTATAATCAGCCTGTTTGGCAAATCTAGATTTTCTTCTGCTGGATCTGTTTCAAGTGGAGCCAACCTTACACAGGGGGCAGAGAACTTAGTCTGTTGGGGAAAGATGGGCTATACAAGATGCATTATTTTCTAGAAGAAGAAAGTTGCTAGCATTTATTGAGTTTCTACTACATACTAGGCACCATGTTATGTGTTTTACCTTTCTCTCATTCAAGAGTCAAGAAATCAAATGGCATATTGCATTAGGCAAATCTGCTGCACAAAATCTCTAAATGTTTGAAGCGCGAAGATGTCAGTTTGAGGACTAAATTGCACCTGACTCGATGTATCGAGTTCCTTTCGAATTACCTGACACAGCTCAGTCAAAAGATTCTTCTTGGATCAACTATCAACACTCATAGAAGCAGCACTCAGGAAATCAAATGACATATTGTATTAGGCAAATCGGCTGCACAAGACCTTTTTAAAGTGTTGATGAGCAGGGATGTCGGCTTGAGGACTAAGGTGCGCCTCACCCAAGCCATGGTATTTTCAATAACCTCATATGCATGCAAAAGCTGGACAGTGAATAAGGAAGACCATAGAAGAATTGATGCATTTGAGTTATGGTGCTGGAGGAGAATATTGAAAGTGCCATGGGCTGCCAAAAGAACAAAGCGATGTGCTGGATAAAGTATAACCAGAGTACTCCTGGGAAGCCAGGATTGCCAGACTTCATTTCTCATACTTCAGACATATTGTCAGGAGGGACCAGGCCCTGGAGAAGGCTATCATGCTTAGTAAAATGAAGGGTTGGAAAAAAGAGGAAGCTCCCCAATGAGATGAATTGGTACAGTGGAAGCAGCGATGGGCTCAAATGTAACAACAATTGTGAGGATAGTGTGGCAGTGTTTCGTTCTATTGGGCATAGGTTCGCTATGAGTTGGTACATACTCGATGGCACCTAACAACAACAAAAACAACTACCTGTCTTAGGCCACGTTTTCTAGAGAAGCAAAACCAGTGAAACATATATATATGTAAATATATACAAAGGAGTTTATTACCAAGGAAGTGGTTTAGAGTTGTAGAGTCCCAGGTCCCCAGCAGAAGAGAGAGAAAGAGAGGCTATTGAAAACACCATGCATGGCTTTGGTCAGGTGCATCTTGGTCCTCAAACTGACATCCCTGCTCTGGAACACTTTTGAAAAGGTTTTGTGCAGCAGATTTACCTAATGCAATACATAGTTCGATTTCTTGACTGCTGCTTCCATGAGTGTTGATAGTAGAGCCAAGCAAAATGAAGTCTTTGGCAACTTCACTCCTTTCTCCATTTATCATGATGTTATTTATTGGTCCAGTGGTAAGGATTTTTGTTTTCTTTACATTGAAGCGCAACCCATACTGAAGGTTGTGGTCTTCGATCTTCATCAGTAAGTAGTTTAAATTCTCTTTGCTTTCAGAAAGCAAGGTTGTATCATCTATATATCTCAGGTTGTTAATGAGTTTTCCTCCGATCCTGATGCCATGTTCTTCTTCATATAATCCAGCTTCTTGGATTAGTTGCCCAGCATACAAATTGAATAAGTATGGTGAAAAGATACGATCCTGGCACATACCTTTCCTAATTTTAATCCATTTAATGTTACCTTGTTCTGTTGGAACAACTGCCTCTTGACCTGTGTACAAATTCCTCATGAACACAATCAAGTGTTCTGAAATACCAATTCTCTATAATGTTGCCCATAGCTTGCTATGGTCCACACAGTTGAAAACCTTTGCATAGTCAATTAAGCATAAGCAAACATCTTTCTGGTACCTTCAGTCAAGATCCATCAGGTGTCAGTAATGACATTTCTCATTCAGCGTCCTCTCGTCTGAAACTGGCTTGAACCTCTGGCAGTTCCCTGTCAGTGTACCGTTGTAGCCACTTTTGAATTATCTTTAGTGAAATTTTACTTGCATGTGATATTAATGATGTCAAATGATGTCCGCATTCCATTGAGTCACCTGTCTTTGGAATGAGCACAAATATGGACCTCTAATAATTAGTTGGCCTGGTAGCTGCCTTCCAGATTTCTTGTCATAGATGAGTGAGTGCCTCCTGTGTTGCATTAGTTTGTTGAAAGATTTCAATTTGTAATCCATCAGTTCTCAGAGCCTTGTTCTTTGCCAATGCCTACAGTGAACCTTGGACTTCTTCCTTTACTATCATTGACTCTTGATCATGTGCTACCTCATGAAATGGTTGAGTATTGCCCATTTCTTTTTGGTACAGTGACTGATCCTTCCATCTTCTTTTGGTGTTTTCTGCATCTTTCAATATTGTACGCCTAGAATTCTTCAGTTTTTCAAGTTGAGGCCTGAATTTTTTCTTCAGTTGTTTCAGCTTGATAAATGTTGAGTATATTCTTTCCTTTTGATTTTCTAACTCCAGGTCTTTGAACATTTCATTATAATATTTGACTTTGTCTTCTCGAGCTGCCCTTTGAAATTTTCTGTTCAGCTCTTCACCTCCTCATTTCTTCCATTTGCCATATCATCTACAAGCTTGAGAGCAAGTTTCAGAGTCTCTTCTGACATCCATTTTGGTCTTTCCTTCTTTCTTGTCTTCTTAATGACCTTTTGCTTTCTTTCTGTATGATGTTCTTGTCATTCCACAGCTCTTCTGATCTTCGGTCATTAGTGTCTAATGCATCAATTCTGTTCTTGAGATGATCTCTAAATTCAATTGGGATATGTTCAAGGTCATATTTTGGCTCTCTTAGTCTTGCTTAAATTCTCTTAAGCTTCAGCATGAACTTTCATATGAACAGTTGATGGTCTGTTTCACAGGTGGCCCCTGGCCTTGTTTTTGGTTAATGATACGGAGCTTTAGCACCATCTCATCTCACAGATGTAATCAGTTTTATTTCTCTATTCCATTTGGTGAGGTCCATGTGTATAGTTGTCTCTTATGTTGTATAAAAAATGTATTTGCATTGAGGACGTTATTGGTCTTGCAAAATTCTGTCATGTGATCTCCAGCATTGTTTCTATCATCAAGGGCATATTTTCCAACTACTAAGCCTTCTTCCTCTTTGTTTCCAGCCTTTGCATTCCAGTCAACAGTAATTATCAATACATCTTGATTGAATGATCAATATCAGAAGAAGTTGGTAGAATTCTTCAACTTTATCATCACTGGCTTTAGTGGTTGGTGCATAATAGTGGAATTAGCTGGTCTTCCTTGTAGGCGTATAGATATTATCCTATCACAGAAAGCATTATACTTCAAGCTAGATCTTGAAATGTTCTTTTTGGTGTTTAATGTGATGCCATTCCTTTTGAATATATATATATATATATTTTAGCATAGTAAACCATATAGTTGTCAGATTCAAAATGGCCAATAGCAGTCCATTTCAGCTCACTAATGCCTAATATGGATTGGCAAAGTGACGGCCTCAATGGGCTCAAGCATGGCAACAATTGTGAAGTTGGCCCAGGACTTGGCAGTGTTTCATTCTGTTGTGCATAGGGTCGCTATGAGTAGGAACCAACTCAATGGCCTGTAACAACAACAACAAATGCCTAATATATTGATCTTTTGGGGTTCTATTTCATTTCTGACAAGTTCTAATTTTCCTAGACTCATACTTCATACATTCCATGTTCCAATTGTTAATGGGTGTTTATAGCTGATACTCTTCATTTTGAGTTATGCCCTATTAGCACATGAAGGTCTTGGGACCTCTACTCTACTTGTGTCATCAGGGTCAAGTCTACTTTGAGAAGACAGCTCTTTTCTTGTCATATTTTGAGTGTTTTCCAACCGGAGGGACTCATCTTCTGGCACAGCAGCTGACAGTATTCTGGTGCTATCTGACAGTGTTTCACTGCTATTCATACAGTTTTCAGTGACTAAATATTCAGAAGTAGTTCGCCTCTCCTTCTTCCTGGTTTGTCTTAGTCTGGAAACTCAGTTGAAACCTGTCCACCATGGGTGATCCTGCAGGCTTTTAAAATACCAGTGTTACAGCTTCCAGCATCACAGCAACCTGTAAGCCACCACAGTACAACACAATTGGACCAATCAATGACATCATGATAATGGAGAGAAGATTGAAGTTGTTAAGGACTTCAATTTGCTTGGATCTGTAATCACCACTTATGGAAGCAGCAGTTAAGAAATCAAACAGTATGTAACATTAGGCAAAATTTCTGTATAAGACCTCTTTAAAGTGTTCAATAACAAAGATATCAGTGAGGACCTGACCCAAGCCATGGTATTTTCAGTAGCCTCATCTGCATGTAAATGTTGGACAATGAATAAGGAAGATTGTAAAAGAATTGATGCGTTTGACTTATGGTGTTGGAGAAGAATATTGTAAGTACCCTGGACTGCTAGAAGAGCAAACAAGTCTGTGTTGGAAGAAGTACAGCCAGAATGCTCTTTAGAAGCCAGGATAATGAGACTTGGTCTCTCA